TTTTTTTTTTTTTTTTTTTTTTTTTTTTTTTGTTTATAATGTCCATTTATAGTTTGGTTCTTTGATTAATTTATTTTACTGGACGAACTTGTAGAAAATGTTATATCTCAACGATTTAGCGCATTTATTCAGGTGTCATTTTCTACACTGTTTTTAGTTCTTAATAATGCTGTTGATATCTATTACAAACTGTAATAAAAATGGTTTATTAAAAATAGGGCTAAAGGAAATGTATTAGTCAAGAGGCTTTTAATTTATGTGATGCATATGAGGTCATTTTAAATGGAATTTAAATAGATAGTGATGCCTCAGAGGTAGCAGTTTTTGACTTATAGTCCTTTTATTGCTGGAGAGAGAGAACCAGTTTTTATACTGGTGCGCATGCATATCGAAAGACCATTGTTTGCTACAATTTTCTATATTCTCTGATGCGGATTTCGTTATTCTATTTGTTACTACTTATTTTATTCGCCATCAGTTAATATTTAACCATTTTATATCTGTTCTCGTTGGAATTGTCCAAAAAGTGAATATCGCAGACGACAGAGAACGTTTTTGAGACAATTTAATTTACTTGAATTGTTTCCTGAATTAAATCTTTCAAATACTTTTTTCGAAGCTTTGTAGGTTGTGAGAATTCTCAACTTCTTTACAATTATCTTTACTTTCAATCGAAGAAGAACAGATGACCGAAAGAATTAAAACAGACGTTTCTGTTTTAAATTATTGTCTTCTTTTTGTTTTCGCTTCAAGCACCTTTTTGCTTTTGTTTCAAAAAGTTTTTGATTAGGTACAGCTAAGTAAATCGTTGCCCATCGCTGTTATAAGGATGTTAACATAAGCTACACATCATGCGTCATTATCTAACTTCCTTTATTGCTCTGAAAAACTTATATCACGTGACGGTGTTGTTGAAGTTAACACATAGCTTTTTGTTTCCTTGGCGACTTTGAGTATTTGTTGTTCTTTGGAATGCCTTTTGTATTCGTGGCCTTAAACTTAGCGCTGTAGTTATCCATGGAAGATAAATTGGTTAGGGTAGATGTTCTTTGCTGTATAAAAATTGCATTCTTTTGTCAAAATTGCGATTGTGTGGAAGTTCTTCATTTTTTCATTAGTAATATTGATATTAGGCTCGGGCAACATTGAGTGATAACAGAGTTTTTTATTATTTTTATTTTCCTCCGTAAGGTCCGTGCTTTTTTTTGTTCCTTTAGTATATTTGTTTTTTTTTGTTTGTTTTTATTTTTCAAGCATTTTTTCAAATGATGTTATTCATTGACTTTTTTTGAGTCGTTTGGAATTGTTTATCAAGGCTCATTTTTTAAAAAAGGTTTTTTTACAAGTGTTAATGGAAAAGCTACATTCAGGTTGAGGCTCATTATAATTAATTTCATTTTTTAGGCAGGTCTGGAAGTCTTTTGGAAGGCAACTGCTTTATGCAACATGTGTTATGTTTTTATCACGGGTTTAATTGAAGAGATGGCTAAAATTCACTTTTTAAAGGTTTGTTATTTGTTACTTCTTGTTTTTCACTTTAGCCTCATCTTAAAAGTAGTACTTTTACTATTTTAATTCGTTTAACAACCGTTGTAAAATCAGTAACTCCACTGGAAAAAACCCAGATGCATTGACCGAGAGGTATTATGCGTTTTACAGTTACTACCTTTGTATAAAGCAAATTAGGCGGAATTATCATATAGTATTCTTTGCAAGCAACATGTAGAGTTTTCCCGAAAACTGGTGTTTAAAGTTATTGGAGAAGAAACTTCATCGTGACTTTTGCAAGTGTGTAGTTGATAATGGTAAATTTTTCAGCTTAATGTGTAACCTAGAAGTACACTGTAGGACAGTCTTTGACTAGGACACCTAAGTTTGTCAGTAGGGTTTTTCAATGGTTCGAAAAACTGTATTACAAAAAATTAGTAATTACATCTTTTTTATTTTGAAACTTTTTATCTGGTTCTTCATCTGAATTCAAGGCTTGCTGATCTTATCTTTTCAGGTTCTTTTTATTATGTATCTATTATTGACTGACATATCCGGAGCTGACATGGCAAAAAAGACAAAATTATGTGGCGATATAAAATGTGCAGGTATCTTAACATAGGGTACTTCTTCTTTTAGCTACGGGCTTTGAAATTTTTTTTAATTGAAGGAATTAAGAATTACGTTACCTTTTTGAATTTTTCTGAGGGTAACTCATACGTGCTTAATTTAGAAAAGCTGTTCCAATCGACAATTAAACGATCGTATATTTCGCAGCATAGTTCTTTTTTATCTTATGATGTAAATAATATTATCGATGTTTATGCGATAAGGAGAAGCGATCGTCCAGAGCTTTTAGAAGGATCGGTTAGAAATTTAGTATACAATCTGCTGTAATAGGTTTTTATGAAGCAAGCAGTTGTGCGTGATTTTTTCTATGATGCATTTCCGATTTTATTTGTTCGTTTAGCTTCAAGGCGAACCGAGTCGTCGTGGCTACTTTTTCTCTACGCATATGGAGTCACTTAACTATATTGAATTTCTCGAAGACGCTTTAAAGAAGAATAAGACATTTTATAAGATTAGTGTGGAGCAAGAAGATTTAGATTCAACAAAATTGGTTGGTTAGTATACAAATTTGTTTTTTGCGTTTGGCTGGTAGGAGAGATTCTGATTTGCTTAAACGAAATCATTTATTCCTATTCATTACTTTTAATAAGACTGACGCATACACATACAGCTGTTATCCTTCTTACTGGCTTTAGGTGTTTATTGTGACTTAAAAAAATTTTTTTTTTTATCAATTTTGTCAATGCTTAAAAAATGGTTTTTATTTAAGTTACATTAAAATAATAATATGTTTCATTTCCAAAAATTAGTTTTTATTTAGGCATTACTTCAGCAGTTCCAGAACTGTTGAAAGAGTACGAGAAGCTTTTGAATCAATCAGCTATTGAAAAGAATTTACCTCCGCCTGGCTTAAATTTGGAGTCGCTTGGAATAAAACCAGAAGTTCTTGGTTGAAGTTTTACTGAGACTTGTTTCATTTGTAGCAACGAACGGTTTTATTTTTCTGTTTTAATATTATTTTATTAGCTCAGTTTTGTTTCAGAAAAAGGCACTCATACCGGTCACAGCCATGGTGATCATGGGTCTTCCCATGGAGGGCATGGGCACTCTCATGGTAGTCATGGGCATTCACATAACGAGTATGGGCACTCGCATGGGCCTCATAAAGAAACACATGATAGAAGTGATGAACGCAGCAGGGTTTCAGAAAAGCATGTTGACAGTAACTACGTGGAAGAGATGTCACAAGGAGCCCCTTCATCAGAGCATAAAATTCCTCCGCCTTTGAAAAGCTTAGAGGACAGCCCAGTGGTTTCACAAAACCAGTTTGTCAAATCGGGAGGTATATTTTTCTATAATTCTTTAAATAGAATTATCAAGCAACTTTTATTTTTAGATCCAGTGCCCACAGATGTCAAGCCGATTATTCCGGAAAGTGACGTCGACATTGAAAAATTGTCTCCTGAACAGCCGAAGTACCCTACGCCGCATCCTGCCAAAGCCGATCCATTGGAAGTTGAGAAGTTACCAGAGGCCAGAATCGTGGAAACCACTGTTGTTTCTCCACAACAGCCACCACCCGTTGGCACAGCCAAGCTTGCCTCAGTAGAGGTTAATATTGATTTTTTCGTCTTTCCGATTATGCATCTTAGAATTGTTATAACTTCTATTGTTTTATCCTTCATCATCAATTATCCTCGTTTTTTTTTTCTGACAAGAAGGATACTATATTATTACTGCACAGTAGCTTCAAGTTCAGGCTTGTTGGTAAATTGGTAGCTTCATAAACTAATTTCTTTAATTTTTTTAGAGTGACGGCGTATTATACGTCGTAGATTTCAAAAGTATTATCAGGAGGTTTACGTTTTTCTTATAGTTTTTGAAAGCCTTCAGAAGTCGAACTCGTTAATGTAATTTTGCTAGTGGGAAAAAGGCTTTTGTTTAATCTTATTCAAATAAGATTTTATGTTATTTTTGTTGATGATAGGGAGCTGGGGTTAATCTTATTCGAATGAGATTTTATGTTACTTTTGTTAATGATAGGGATCTGGGGGTTTGTTTAATTGCCAAAGTTGATACTTTCAATCTTACTGTATTGGTAAGTATTATTACCCAACCCATCTTTTTCATTTTGCTTGACTCTGTGCAAAATCCTCAAGCGAACGATTTGGTTGTGATATTTATCTGTCTAGTTTAATTATCTTTGGATGACTACAACTTAATTTACAACTTGTTTTGTTAAAAAAAAATCTTTTAAGCCTGCGGGTAAACCAGTTATCGCGGATATGCCAAATAGCGGCGAAGACTTAAAATCACCTACTCCTTTTCCACCGAGTGCTGATATTCCGAACACCTTTGCGCAGAGTGACTCGGCAGTGACTACAGCTACGCCTTTAGCCAGTACTTCTGCTTACTCTCCTGCTCCAGAACTTGCTGCAACAACCTCTTCATCAGCTACTCCTTCTAGTCTTCCAGTTACAGGGCCGCAGGATCTACCTGAAAAGGCAGATGAAGCTCATGCTAATCAAATAGTTGGAGAACAAGGTTCTTATCCTCATGATTTGGAGTATGGGAGCTTAGAGGAAGGATTTTCTGCTGATGTGGAAATGATTTTAGGCTTACCAGCAACTGCTTCAGAGGCGAATAAAGTTTCTGACAATGGACCTGCACTTGTGCCTACAGCCTCAGCGTTTCCAGAAAGTAATGTCATTAACACTGTTGCACCAATTACTGTTCTTACTCCACTGTCTGCTACTGTCACACCAACTACTGTTGTCACTTCTTTCTCCACTATTAACACACCGACCACTGTTGTAACTCCTCTCTCAGCTGCTGTCACACCAACTACTGTTGCTACTCCTATCTCTGCAACCATCACGTCAACTACTACTACTACTCCTCTCTCTACAACTGTTGCTGCAACAGCAGCTGTTACAGGAGGTCACATTTACTCCTCTGTCTATCCGTCTACTACGGAGGCTTCACGATCGCAGCCTCCCACAACTGCGCTACCTACTACTTCGGAAGCTACGATTTCTCCAGTTCCGTATTTTGTCACCCCTTCAACAGTTCTTCCTGGTGGTGAGGGGCCAACTGGTGTAACTCTTTCTCCGGAAGTTACTACACGTTCCGCAAACTATGAGGATGTTTCATATACATTGTCTCCTGCACAGGTTCCAGCATCGTCTGCAGCCCCTGAGCATACTGTTTCACCTAATATTGTCGATAATTCTGTGAGTTAGTTTTTTTCACTAATTGTCAAGTGAGCTGTTGATTTAGTTTAAATCGTTGGGAACCTTTTCGTCGGTTTTTGGCTTAGATCTATTCTTTTGGTAGCAAGAAGGATTCTTTACTATTGCTCTTTAGGGGGGCGCTTTGCCAGAAAATTCGCAAAATCAGGTCCATCCAGAACTCACTAGTAAATATGATGTTGTCGACAAGGACGGCCTGGTATAATGCTAAATCATCTCTCATTTCTTTGTAATATTCATTAAAATTATTGCTTCCTTTTTTGGGCATGACTCCGTACCTAGTTTTGCATGAAACTTATATAATTCGCAGATAAATATTAAGGGATATTGTGTAAAAGGAGGATGTGATGAGGTCGTTAATCAGAAGTTTTCTGTGGAAAAAGCTGGACCAGAACTGAGGCCAGTGCGCAGATTTATTGAACATTTGCCAACAGTGTTCCTGCTTCCATCTGGTGAAATTGATTTTATAAGTAAGTTTAGATCTATAAGATTCACGGGGAGATTTTCAATTGTTTTTTATTAATGAGACTTTTTTTGCGAAACGGTTTTGACTGGCAAAATTTCCTTTTTTAAATTTCAGAGGTGCTATTTCTTGTGCTTGCTTCTGCCTTGCTCTTAACTCACTTATTAATGCTTTTTTTCTGTTCCGAGAACGATAAGGAAAAAGTTGATGGCAAAATGCTTCATGATGCACTTAATGCTGTCAGTGCACGAAACCAACGTATTAAAGTTAGTTTTAATGGCGCAGAAACATTTTTTTTGGGATTCGATTTTTTTTATTATGCTTTTTTGAATATATCATGTTTTTTTTGAAACTGTGTTTACGACAGTAAATATGCTTAATTCTTCTTTGTGCACTCACTTTACTCCATTTTTTTTTCGTTATTTTGATGCTAATATTTTGTCTTTCTCAGGACTTAATGCTGGAGATAGAGAGGATTAAAGGGGTTGGTAATGGCGACTCGCAAACGAAAGTAGTTCAGTTGAAGGCTGAGTTAGAAGAAAGGATGGCAGATGTGAAACAGTGTAGAACTAAGTAAAATTAAATTTTTTGTTAAGACGCGCTTCTGTGTTGGAACTGATTGAGGATGCTTACAAAGACATTTCGTGTTTCAGAATTATGGAAGCAGAGAACGAAATAAAAACGCTCACTGTTAGGAACAAAGAATTGAGTGGTTTAGTAGAATGTGGAGAAAAAAAAGTCAAGAATCTAAGCGAGGAGTTGGCTGAGTGCAAAAAGAGAGAGCAGGTTAATAAGTTTAAAAAAAATTTTTCTTTATTCAGCATATCCTTATACATTTGCAATTCTTTCGGTTATCTCAATACTTGATTTCCATGAGCGGTTTTTATTAAACTGTTCACTTGATTCAGAGTACAACTGTAAAATTTTTCTGTCTTTTTTGAACAGATACTGTGTCTAAATTTTCTATTTGTTTATATTTTTATTTATTTCTTTATTTCCTATGATTTTAGATGCTAAACGCGGAACTAGGTGAAATGCAGTCTAATATGGAAAGCGCACGAGACGAAAATAAGTTGCTTAAGGAGGAAATTATTGACAAAAATGCTTTGATATCAAGACAAGGTCTAAGTATTGAAAGTGATTCATCAGAAATAAAGAATCTACGAGAGCAGTTGAGGGTAGGAATTCGTCTCAGATTTTTTCCCGTTTTAGTCTGTTTGTTGTCTCACTGAAATTTGTGAAAATTTCTTGTTTTGCAATATAGATTGGAAAGCAGCCTATTCTTGAGTGGTGTAAGTGACAGCGATCGAATTTGGGGCTTCCACTTTAGCTGTTCTTAAGATTTTAATTTTCAAATACGATAACTTCTTTGTTTACAGCTTATTAGTGAAGAAAAAAGAGCCTTGTCTAAACAAGTTGATGACCTTCAATTTGAAAATGCGCAGTTATCTGAACTTTATGACGAAATGCAGAAATCTGTTCAATCGGCAGAGGTGTTACCTGAAAATAAATCTGAAACTCATGAAGAGCATGCTGCTCACGAAAGTGGAGGTTTATCTCTTTCGATTTCTTTTCTTCATGTTATGTATTACACTGAATCGCTTCAAATAAGGCTAGCTGCTTTAAGTTCGTTTTTAACTGTTTCTTCACTTTTAAAAAGAAAAAAATCATACGACGTTTTTTAATTGATGAGTCATTTTTTATTTTTGTAAGCCAGTGGACTTTTAAAACAATGATCTTCACAATTATCCTTCTCTGGATAAGTTAACCCAGTACTCATTTTTTAAGGTTCTGGAGGGTGGTCAGATATTGGCGACTTTGATATTGACGCTCCGGAAGAGAAGAAGGACTCAATTCCTCAGTCTGGAGCGAACAACAGGGCAGTAAAAGAGCATAGTGTTGATTCACACACTAGTCAAACTTCAAACATAGTAGAAATTGCTCGATTACGTGGGCAGTTGGAGCGTGCCAAGTGATTCTTATGTCTTTTCGGAGAATCCAACATAGTCGATGATAGTTTATCCGATTTAAATATCTATCGATGTAGGTGGTTGTAAATTCCCTTTTTTAAAGGTTAAAGTTGCAAGAGGAAGAGAAGAGTCGTGAAGAACTTTTGCGCCGTCTCAACATTGCAGAAAGCGAGGCCACGAAATGCCGCAAGGAAGTAGAATCGAAAGAGGCGGAAGGCGTTGATATGAAAAATCAGTGGAAAAAGTTATTAGCAATGGTTGAAGAGAAAGTTAGTGGCTGAGTTTCTTTTATATCGCCTGTGTTACGTTGGCTGTGCTGTATGCCTTTATAGGATGCATGGATAAAACGCTTGGACGAGGCAGTCGAGCGTCTGAGAGAGGGAAAAGCTAAAGTTGAAGAAGAAATGAAGAATTTAACAGAGCAAAAGCAACATCTCGAGATTAAATCAAGCGTAAGTTTTAGCTTTCAAGATTTTACAAGAGTTTTGTTTTTTTCTCTTTTTTGATTTCTTTGATTAAAGACCTAACTAAGCGGACTTAGGAACTGGAACAGGAGTTGAAACGTCTGCGGAACGACCAAGATCGGCTCAAGAAACGCCACTTCCAGGAACTGCGTGAGTTGAGGCAGGAAAATAATAGTCTTCAACAAGTACTGTTTAATTTTAGTTTACTTACGCCTTATCTAAGTTATAAATTTAAGAAATTGAATTTTTAGACAAATTTCTCTCATTGTCAAGTCACAAAAATCATTTAATTTTGACTTTGTAATTAAGTGCTTGCTCATTAATTTACAAAAGTCTTTTAGAGGTTAAAATCATGGCAGAGCGGCGGTACCGAACCGTTGCTAGGAGAAAATAGGGATTTATTAAATTTCCCTGGCAGTGCTTCTGAGCACCATTCTTTATCACCCACTGGGCTTTTGCCAGGACTTACGGTTCCACCGCTTTGGAGTGACGGAGATACGGATGTATATTTTATCTATCATTCACTCGCTTCTACGATTCTAGGTTTTGACACTTAGCAGTATTTCAAGTTGAACTTTTTTTGTTGTTTAGGTCTTTTCTGGTGCTGAGTCATCTCGCGCAGAACGAAACG